GCGCTCTTAGGAGGCGGGACTGGGCGGGGCCTCGCTTGTGGGAGGAGCCTGAGGTGCGTAGGTGACAGTGGGCGGGTCTGGAGGGCAGGGTCCGTGGGGCTGCCAGACAGTGGCTCTCTTCAGTGGAGAGCTACTTCTCAGCGGGTGTGATGACACCCGCCTGTCATCCAGCACTGGGGAGGCTGAGGCAGGAGAGTCACTTGCTCTTAGGAGGCGGGACTGGGCGGGGCCTCGCTTGTGGGAGGAGCCTGAGGTGCGTAGGTGACAGTGGGCGGGTCTGGAGGGCAGGGTCCGTGGGGCTGCCAGACAGTGGCTCTCTTCAGTGGAGAGCTACTTCTCAGCGGGTGTGATGACACCCGCCTGTCATCCAGCACTGGGGAGGCTGAGGCAGGAGAGTCACTTTGAGTTCGAGGATAGCCTCGGCCACATAGCAAGACTGCCTCAAAAAACAAAGACAGCAAAGCCAGAGTTGGGCAGTAGCGTCCCAGGGGGTTTGATGTGGGGGTCTCTGGCTGCTGAGTAGGGCTCAAAGCCCAAGGAAGAAGGTTCTGGGACCACAGGACTTTGGGCTGGAGAAGGGCCCTCAGGCCCGACCAGGCCCCAGGTTCCCGGTGACCTCAAGTGAGCTGCTTCCCTCAGCTCCTTTCTCCCAATTTGGGCCATGGACCACCCAGGACTCCGGTTTCTTACTCGCAGTAAACCTAGCTTGTTGCCCCCCCCAGGCCCTGGGAAGCATCTGGGGCCCAGAGGGAGGGACTGGAGCTGCCCCCCGGTGCCGGCAGGGCCCTGGCCCCTCTCCTCACTCCAGGTGACTCAGGATTTTCCGTTTTCAAGAAAAGAACAAACAAACTCCGCAGGGCTGGGCTGGGGCGGGGGCGAGCAAGCCCGGGGAAGGCCGGGTGGTTGGGCCTGCGCGTGCCTGTCCCCTGTGCCTGTCCCCTGCTGAGTCGCGCGGTGTGGGTGTACCCCGGGGGAGCCGGAAGCCAGGTTCAAGGCCAGGTGCCTAAGCCCAGCCTGCAGGGTAGAAGAGGTGGGCCGAGGAGAAGGAAGAGAGGGCCGACAGCTCCAGAGGACTCCGTGGGAGTGCGGCAGGGCCGGAGGGCACCAAGAGGAGCGGATGGAGCCCGTTACACAGGGCTACCTGAGGGAGGCGAATGCGAATTCAAGGGCAGTGTATTCCATCCCCAACACCCCCTTCCCAAAAAAGGAAAGAAAAGAAGCCGTGGCTCCTGTCTCCCTTCTGCCTGCAGCCTCCCAGCAGCAGAGGAGAAAAGAGCTTGCCCAGAGAAGTAACGGAGCCATGGGGACATCGAGGCAGCGGTGCACTAAAGGGCACGGGAGACAGAGTCAGGGTGGTCCCTTCTCCTTCATCTTTGCCCATTTCCCAGTGGGACTGGTGTCTGAAACACAGGGTATCGGGCTTTGAGCAGAGCCCTGGCTCTGACCCCTGTGGCCGTTTGTCTATCACTCAAGCTATTAATCACGGAACAGTAAAACTCTTAATGAAATATTTAAAATGCAATCTACTAACAAAACATTAACGGCACAATTGAGAAAGCCCTAGGCAGCGCAGGCTGGGGAGGGCAGAGGACAGAAAGCCAGTACACAAATGAAGGGGAGAGGGTCCCAGCTGTGTGACCGGGCGGGCGGGCAGCCACCCCCAGTCAGGTGCCGGAAGAGCTGGGTACATCTGTGTTCACTTCCTGTGTGACGCATTGCTCTGGGCCTCAGTTTCCCCTTGGGGACGCGGAGCCCAGGGAGCCCCGGACACAGACCTCCCTGGACAGCGTCTCACCAGGCAGTTCCTGGCGGCCTGGGTCCCCCGGGGAGCGGCTATAATTAGGCAGGGCCTGGGAGTGACAGATGGTTTTTCTGTCTTGGGCTCCCAGAAGGTGTCCGGCCTCCTTCCGAGCTTCCTGGCTGGTGGGGGGCTCCTGGCCAGGCCCCGAGGCACCCCCTCCTGGGCCACTGCCCCGAGTCCCGTGTGTTCAGCGGGTGCAGTCACTGCCAGCGCCCTGGTGGCCCGGGTGGTGGCTCCTGTCTCAGGCTCCCAGGAAGTATAGGAGCCCCTCCCTGGGGACCCTGAGTGGGCTTCCCATGCCTAGGCCCCCAGGGACTCGGTTTCCTCTGTGTGCAGTGGGGCGGTGCCAGCTTGGGGCTCTTTTAGTACAGGCACCTAGACAGTGGGCTTGCATAAGTGAACACAGTGATGCACAGTACCCAATGCACTGACTTGGAAAGATAGATCCAAGGAATGCAGGGAGCCAAAAGTTTGAGGTGGTCGGCTAAGCAAATGTAGGAAAGCATGAAGGGGGATCTCTGAGAAGTGTGATTGAACAAAAAGTTGGCAGGGCGGACGGGGATGCTGTCCAGCGCCGGGCCTGGGGAATGTCAGCGCAGGTGGGATGGCGGGGACTCGGAGGTGTATGGGGAGCTGGATCTGAGCCCCCCTCCCCCGTGGCCCTGCAAGAAAGGCTGGGCCTCTCCTCAACCCCCACTCTCCCGGCCTCAGTTTCCCCACCTGGCAAAGGACGGTCAGTCTAGATTCTGGGGTGGGCTTGGGGGTTCTCCATCCTGCACACGGGCGGGGGTTGGGGACTCCGGTGCGGGGGTCCAGCACCATATGCCTCCGGGGGCGCGGGGCTGCAGGGGGCGTGGCGGTCATCAGGTTCTGGCCCTTAGAGAGGGGCGGCGGGTGGCG